AATCTCATTTCATTCAAAAAAAAAAAAAAAAAAAACTATCATATTTCACCATTATGCCTTTATGTATAGTCATACTACTTTTCTATTGTGCTTGATCTCATATCTCTCTTTCATCTTATGTTATATTGCTTTAGAATGCATGATTTGATTTTTCTTATCCCATTTGATATTTGATGTGAATTTACTAGTGTGGTTATTCAAGTAGGTTGTTGATTATAAGTTTGGGGAAGACGTATTTCGAATTGGGTCATTGCCGGGCTTCATCCATCTTTTCCATTCTTTTCATTGCCCATTAAGGACAATGTGCGGTTAAAGTTTGGGGGTAAGGCGACTTTGTTGCATTCTACTTAAGTTGAGACTTAATTGTATAATTGAGATTTGGGATCCATTTTTGCTATGATTTTGATCTTTTGAGGACTATATTACTTAAAATTTAAAAATTACTTGACTTGAGAGTCCAATACTCCTTATATGCCTTGTGGATGCCATTTATGAGTAATTTTTTTGAAAGATTGATATCATGCTTGCACTTGTGGTCAACATGATCCTGATTTTGTGATTGTTTTGAGATTCACTCTAGGATTCTACACTAGCACAGGCATATACTAGCATTCATTTGTGGGGTACATGCTTTGTTGATTATTGAATTGGTTATATCCCAATTGGGCTAGTAGTGCATTGAAACCTTTCATTCTTGATAAAGGTGGATAATAAACTCTTTTCATTCAGTAGTCGGGATTCTAGCCTCATCAAGCACTGAATTTCTCACGCCAAAAGGTGGAGAGCCCAAACTCTAGGTTAATAATTGAACTTGCTTAAAAAAAAAAAAAAAAAAAAATGTAAAAGTTATTGCAAAAGCAATAAAAAGGGTGAGGATTTCTCCCAAAAGGTGAGAAGTGGAAAATGATTAGATGGAGGTTGTCTTGATTTGTAGCCTAGTTGATTTGAGCTTGTAAGTCCTTAGGGGTGTTTGAACACCTAATACCCTAAAGTTGTCTGGTTTGGGAGTCATTGACCTAACGCTCGACCTCATGGATCGCTAGAAAGCTTAATAGATCAACACATTGCACTATGCTTCCATCTTTGATCCTTAGGGAAAAAAAAAAAAAATCGAGTGAAAAGAATAAGCGCACCTATATGAATAAAGCTTTAATAAAAGGTTCACTCTTTGTCTTGATGATCGGTACTAGATTTATGCGCTAATTTGAGGGTAAGGATGTGATCATTTCTTTAGTTGGCTTAGATAGCAACATATTTGATGTCGGTCCACTCAAAAAGGATTCTATAGTTGTTTTGATTTGCATAATCATTTTCTTGATGTGTGGAGGACTATACTTGTTTGCTTGATGTTGAAATTTGGGAGATTACTTGGAAATGGTTGAAAAATTGCATACTTAAGGTAGTTTTCTCCAAATACTTGTTCGCAATATTGGTGTCTCGTTTGTGAGAATTAGCTTAATGTTTGTGGGTATCATTTCTGGAAACCCTCACCAGACTTCACTTATCCACTAAGGGTAACCTAGGGGTTTAAAAGGCTTGTTACATATGCTAAATGTAATCGTATTCCCTATGAAAGTGGTGTTATCCTTTTATTACTTTCTAATTCATACCTGTATAGTCGTTCATTTCATTCCTTTACTTTCGAGTTCATTGCTACAGACTAGCAATATTTAGGTTTGGGGATGTGATGAGCGCTGAAAAGTGTGCATTTAAACCCCTTAGGCTTAGGTATTCTAGAACTTTTACCTATCTTATTTTCCCACTTTAGATTGATTTTGTATTATTTCCATTTTCAGGTACTTATCCCCAAAATAAGCTAACTCAGCTAAATAAGAGCATAATTGAAGCAATCTTGAGATGAATCAAAGAAAGGAGCAAAGTAGGAGCAAAAGGAAGCAAGTGGTAGAAATTCAGCAAGTTCAATCGATCTCAAGAAATATTCAATCGATCCAACTTTGATCGATTTGAGCACTTCAAGATGGATCTGAACTATTTTGTCCTTATCCAAAGATCCGATAAAGTTCGATAGAATCCAACTTTCTTCCGATCGATCGAAAAGATTTCATCTTATCCAGTTATACCACCACACCTACCACTTTTGTCACTTTCCCAAAAATATCTCCAAAATATCTCAGATTTGTCTTTATCCACAAAGGCGCCGCTATAGAGGATCGATCTAGCTTAAGTTCGATAGATCTCAGCCAAGTTCGATTGATCTCAGAGAATGTTCGATCGATCGAACTTCCCCAAGTGCGAGAAAATTCAATTTCCAGCTCATTAAAAGTTGTCTCATATCCAATTATTGGGAGGAATATTGGTGTACAAGCCCAGGTCATTGGGGATGACATTTGACCTACCTATATAAGGAATATGAGCCACTTTTACAGAAGACTTTTGACACAATTTTCATATCATATTCTTAGTGAGAAAGAAAAGAAGAAAGGAGGCTAGAGACACAAGCTTGGAGTTCTTCCATCAACTAAGAAGATGAGCAATTTCTACTATGGAGTTAGCCCTTGAGAGTTGGAGGATACCATCCATGAGTAGCTAGACATCCTCTTGGGGCTAGAATTAGCCCTAAGCATGTTTTCTACATCTTGATTTATGTATTTTTGAGGGGATTTGTATTGTGATATATGTTTTGACATTTTTATATATATAGATCTTGTTTATTCAATGATTTATGTGGTTTAATGCTTCCAATTGATCATTTCATTCTATCCACATGTCTCTGTATGCTAGAATAAATGTTCATGTGTTTGTCTCTAGATTTTGTGTTATTGATGCATGTCTATGTGTATTGATTCTATAGATCTAGAGATTGTCAAGACATAGTGCTTAATAAAATGCTCTTGTAGTGTATTTGATGGTTCATACTCATATCTTGATGGATTGTGCCTCTCCCTTAGTTTAATTAGTTTAATTTCATGTCACTAGCTTAATTGTAGTGTAGTTGTAGTTTAGATGCTAAATGGAAGGACAATTCATGCTTGTTGTTTGATGTTCCATACTTATGAATGCAAGTAGCATATTTTTCTAACCTTGTGATGTGTTTGGATTATGAGCTTAAAGAAATGATTAATGGCATAGTTTGATATATTGTGCTATTCATTGTGTTGTCTAGACAATATATACTTAATTGGTCATCCATGCTTATTGAAACAACCACACACACACACTATTGTTGCAATACATTTTTTTCCCCTCATTAATCATTCATTAAGGGTGTAGAAAAACTATGCTTAGTGGTGATCTTTAAACCCCAAGATCTCTCTCGCTCTTATTTTCTCTCTATTGCATTTAATTGTTTACTTTAGTTTCAATTGCACCGTAGTATAATTCAATCACCAACCAATCTTTTGATCACTTGACCTACTGACCCTAATCTCGATTCCACAACCTAATACGACCCACCAATCCCTTGGGATGATCCTTACTCGCCCTAACTATATTTTTAGTGAAAAGTAGTAGTAGCAAATTATAAATGTAAAACTTGGCCACACTCATCTTAGTCCACTCTGTTAAGCTTTGGGTGCATCGCGACAAGCACTACAAGAAATTCGGGTTTTAGGGACAGTCCAAACTGTCCCTAAAAGCTCGAAATCCGTCCCTAAAGGTCAAATTGGTCCGTCACTAAAAGTAGCGTGACAAAAGAGCTTTAGGGACGGTCAAATTTGACCGTGACAAATACTTTTGACCTTTAGGCACAGTACTGTCTGTCCCAAATAATACCGTCCCTAAAACTTATTAGGGACGGTATTGACTGTCCCTAATAACATATGAATTAGGGACAGTTTCAGGGACTGTCCCCATTACATATAGTATTAGGGACAGACAAACCGTCCCTAATACATAATTTTTTAATTATAATTATTGTATTAGGGACGGATAGACTGTCCCTAATACTTAAATTTCTTCTCTTTTTTTTTTCTTTTTTTTTTTATTTTTTATTTTATGCTTGATTTGTGGGTTTAACCATTTTGAATACATGCAAAACATAAATAAAATAGATCCACAATAACATTTAAAAAGATATTACTGGCCATAAAACAAAATAAATCCACAATACATATATTTAAGATCCATAAAATCTCCAGTTTTCTAAACAAAAACTAAAACTGCTCCCCAGTTTTCTAAACTAAAAGGTAGCACAAAAAATTGTTCCATCCTCTTCAAGATCCATTATTCATTCTGTTGGTGGTTGTGGTGGTGCTTGCTGGTGCCACCTTGTTGGTGGCGGCTGCTGAAAAAGAGAGTCTGCTGGAGGTGGCGGTGGCTGTTGATGCCAGTTTGGTGCGGCTCGCTACTGTTGGAAATCTGATGGAGACTGTTGTTGGTGGAACCATGGTGGCGGCTGCTGCTGTTGCTGATATAGGGATGTACATGTTGCATGAAATAGCATATATGCATCATTTTGTCTTCTTCTACCTTCTACTCACCATGAAATTACCAAGCGCTTTGTGTGAATATGGTGTGTGTGAGTTTCTTGCAAAAAAAATAAATAAATAAATAAATAACCATGAAACTCCTACATGCCCCTCTCTCTCTCTCTTACATTTCTCAATCTCTATTAAAATAGTTAAATCCAAAACTCTGTTTTAACATCTTTTATTTCCTTTAACATATTAAATGAGTAACTACTGTCCTTAAACATCACTCCGCCACAAACTGCTACCTACTGGCACAAACTAGCGTGGTTCCAGAATTTGATCCCTAAGCATGTGGATATATAGCTCAAATTCTTTGGTTTGAAAGTTTTCTAAAGGAAATTTCTGAAAATTAAGTTATAAAAAAGGAAATTTCAGATATAATAGTATATTCTAATTCTATGAGAATTTTGTTTTAAGACTAAACCAAACATGTTTTTATAGAGCTTGTTTCATTCACTTATCTGTTCATCATATCAAACAACTGGAAAATAGAAAAAGAGTACACAATTACAAATATTCGTTTCGTTGACAATTTTCTAAAAATATAATGTTCAGAAAACTGAATTAATTAAAAAAAAAAACAGTCAATTTCCAGAAAATGGTCTAATTCGGTTTTCAGAATTCTTGAGGAGTGTCTTCTAAAAAAACAAGACAGAACAAATCAATATCTTCAATTTTCACTATTATTATGCATATCAGAGATACAAAATAATCTCTCTCATTCATTCATGACCAACTATATATATATCACGGCTATGTGCATGCAAAAGGAAACGTGGGATGCATTCACAAGGTACCCAAAGAAGCAACAACCCCTAGAGTTAATAAAAAAACAAGTCGAATATTATATAATTCAAAATCAAAAGTAGAAAAAAGCTAAAATAAAAAGACAAAGTAGTTCAGAATTATCAGTATATATATATACACACACACATAAATATGAATATGACACATCAAATTTGATGCAAAAAGCTGGTAATGAGTATCTGATATTTGGACAAACCAGTCTGCTGAGACAACAAATGCTTGTCAGCTTCACTTGGATACCTTAGTCACCAAAAACACAGTATGACATAAGATCCTCTTCATTCAAAATTTATCAAGACAAACAGCATTAAACATTTCTTTTAGGACTCCTTACTATGTATTAATATTATTCTTTAATTGAACTGATCACTGCTATATACACACATATAAAGTATTAATAGTACGCTCTCATCATGAGTTTGTATACTCCACTCTGGATTCAATGATTGAGAGTACAAACTCACGTAAGAGTTCCTGCGATTGTGGGTCATTACAAGAGGGGTAGATTAAGGACCCAACAGTTGGGAAGCTAATTGTAAGCATTCTAAACATTGTTCACATCATATACATAAATATATATACACAAAACACAGATTTGTTTTGCAAACCCTATACATGTATATAGATTGTTAAGACTTTAAATAAGGTTTTATGTTTGATTCTTTTTTGCATCAAATTAAATATAATAAATAGAGTAAAATTCATTAATCATGTACACCGATTTATATAGCACCAAACACTTATATATAGCAAGGCCACAGACCCGTACAAACCCAACAAGGGAGAACAATATATACAACCAAGAAGTAGGGAATGCTCCTGTAACCGACCCATGCACAATTCATTGAAGAATCACACCATTATAAAGATATCTAGGAATTATCTCAAAATCATCATTAATATATACAACCACTAATTTTTACCTCCAAAAACCTAATATAATAGCCCACTTGATGTTTACTTGGACTGGACAAAGCCTAACTGATATATGCAGCACTAAGTGTTAAATAAGTACCAAAAGAGAAGGGAAAAAAGGAAGAAAGGCCATCAAAATTAATGTATGAAAAAGCTGAAATCCCGAACTCGACAAATTCAAAAGCAATGAAGAGAATGAGTTCACTATAAACCAAATTTTGTCACAACCATAAACTACTAAACATGCATGAAAGAATCCAAATTGGAAATATAGAATCAGTGACTATTATCTTTTATTTTTGTTTATTCTTGGCAACTGACTGATCTCCATCAAATAATCAGTAGGTAGACTGAAACCTTATGCAAAAAAATCATATCAAATTGCCAATCAACTCATTCAAGCACGGAATGATAACTTCAACAAAATCGAAATCTAGAAGAAAAAATATTTATACAACATACCATTAAACTCATATAATCATAACATGTATTTATCTATTTTCTTCTACAGGACTAAATGATGAGAGAATTTTCAAAAGCAAATCAAAAGCCCAAATTGCAAAACTCAATTATTTACCAAGTATCAGAATTGAGAAGAACAATCAACAAATTGTGAAGTGATTAAGAAATATAATTCAAGATTTGAAACTTACAGAGATTTAAGGGCTTCAATCTATTGTTGATGGAGAAAATAACATGTTCTGTGATGGCTGTGATCCTTTTAAACACTTCGCTTCTTCGTATCTTAAGGAGTCTGAACAAGGGTAATCTAGTTTGAGCCCCAATCCCATCCTTTCGCCTCATGAGATAGCATTTAAACACGGATCAGCAAGGTAAGCTAAGTGGATGATGTTGATGGTTCAAGGTGGTGTTGATGGGTTTGGCTGACTACCCGGGCAGATTCAGATGAAAAGCCTCAGACCTAACGAGACCAATAGGTGCCTCTTGGGCTCAGGTTAACAGACCGGCCGATTTTGCACCAAACTTGTTAGACGAGGGCACATCTAACAAAGATAAATCTAGGGTTTTTGAGATAAAAAGAGGTGAAAACTGGGGAGAGATTAGGAGGAAGAAAGATAGTGATTTTTTTTGTTTTTTATTAGGAATCGGATAGTGAATTTGATCAAAAGATCAATTTGCACTAGCGGGGAACCTGTGTTAGAGCTCAGACAAGGAAGAGAGGAGAAGAACAGAGATGAGATCGGAGAAGAACAGAGATGAACCCCACACACACACACATACATATATATATATATACACACACGTACCTGGGTTATGTTCCTGTGAAGGTGAAACTCGCGAAGATTTTGGTTGATGGATCGATGTGTGCGAAGTGGATTTTTGCGCAGCTAGAGCTTTGATGAAAAAAAAAAGCCGCCTTTTTTCATTAAGCCGCCTTTTTCCAAACCCTAAAATGAACACAAATGGCAAATAGCATATATATGTGTCCAGATCTGAAACAATCAAAAGAAAAATGGACCAAAACTAGGGTGTGGATCATTAACTGGGTTATATGAATGTCAAATCGAAGATGGGGGTTCTCTAAAAATCGAAGAAAGAGGCATAATTCCTAAAATTTTGAAAAAATAAAAATATTGTTGTACCTGAAGAGTAAGAGTCGATGTTGGAACGATTGGGTCATTCAGCTTGTGCTGCTGGAAGAGGGTGGAAGAGTCTCAATATTCTGCGACGATGGAAGAGGGTGGAAGAGCTTCAGTCTTCTGCGATGGTGGAAGAGCTTCAGTATTCTGCGAGGGTGAAGAGGTGGAAGAGAGGGAGTGAGGGCTTGAGGCGGGTTGGAACTGAGACGATAGGGAGATGATAGGAATATGGATAAAAGAATGTAATGAAATTATACGAAGTAGTTTTCAGTAATTTATTAAATAAAATAATTTTATATATTATAATTTTTCTCTTACAAATGTGCCAAACAAGGAATTAAGCGGCAAAACAAAAGCGCCAAATAAGGAATTAAGCGCCAAGTTTTGCCAGACAAATTTTTATGGAATTGGGGATCGGCCATTTAAGTTTTTAGGGACAGTCTCAACAACTGTGCCAAAAAAGTAATTTTTAGGGACAGTCTAAAGACTGTGCCTAAAAAAGAAGGCTTTAGGGACAGTCTCTAAAGACTGTGCCTAAAAAAGAAGGCTTTAGGGACAGTTTTATAGACTGTCCCTAAAGGACTGTCCCTAAAACCCGAATTTCTTGTAGTGAAGGCACACTACACTACTTGTATGGTGAGAGATTTGAGGTGTTCTCGGATCACAAGAATCTCAAGTACCTTTTCTCGTAAAAGGACTTGAATAACTGATAGAGACGATGGGTTGAGTTCTTGGAGGACTATAATTTTGATTTGTATGCAGTATCATCCGGGTAAGGTAAATGTGGTAGCTGATGCTTTAAGCCGAAAATCTTGTTGGACTTTGGCTAGTTTAGCTATTCAGAAATGGAAGATCCTTGATGATTTGGCAGAGTTGTATTGTTTTGATGATGATGTTAGTAGTGAGTCAGCATTCTTGCTTAGTCTTGTGGCTTAACCTACTCTTGTCAGATGAGTGATTGAGTCACAGAGATTGGATCCGGATTTGGGTGTTATTCACACTCTGATTTCTGGTGGTGAGACAGTGAAGGTTTGGACCTTGCATGCAAATGGAGGTCTACGGTTAGGGGTTATGGGAGTTTCACACTTCCCGCTTTGCAGTTCATCTGGGTGGTACCAAGATGTATCACAATTTGAGACCTCAGTATTGGTGGGGTATGATGAAGAAGGATGTCACACAATTTATGGCTAGATGCCTTACCTGTCAGCAGGTGAAGGCTGAGTACTAGAGACCAACTGGTTTGTTGTAGCCATTGCCGGTAGCGCAGTGGAAATGGGAACAGATTGCTATGGATTTTGTGATAGGTCTTCCTAGGTCACGGAGGATAAATAAGGTTGTATGGGTCATTATTGATAAATTGACCAAGACAACACACTTCTTGCCTATTAAGGCAATAGATGATGCAGAAGCACTTAGTGTACTGTATGTGAAGGCAATTGTGAGGTTGCACAGAGTTCCAGTATGTATTGTGTCGGTTAGGGATGTCAAGTTTAGCTCGAAGTTCTGAGAAGGACTTCACGTAGTGTTTAGCTCACTGCTGCATTTCAATACTGCATTCTATCCATAGATGGATGGCTAATCGGAGTGTACCATCCAGATCTTGGAGGATATACTTTGGGCCTATGTTCTTGATATGGGAGGTAGTTGGGAGGATCACCTTCCACTTATTAAGTTTGCCTACAACACCAGTTATCAGGCGAGTATTCAGATGGCTTCATTTGAGGCATTGTATGGTAGACCTTGTAGGCCTCCTATTTGTTTGACTGAGGTGGGCGAAACAGCCGCCTTAGTACCTGACATTGTACTCAAGACTATTAAGAAGATTAAGTTGATCAGGCAGAGATTGCTTATAGCTCAGAACCGACAGAAGAGTTATGCGGATAGGCAAAAACGACCGCTATCCTTTGAGGCAGGAGACCATGTTTCTCTTTGGGTTTCTCCACCGAAGGGGTTGATGAGGTTCGGAAAGAGTGGCAAATTGTCACCACAATTCACTGGACCTTTTGAGATCTTAGACCGTGTAGGAGAGGTTGCCTACAGACTAGCATTGTCACCACAGATAGACAGATTCTATAATGTGTTGGACCAAGTGGGGGGGTGAATTGGTCTTTCTTAAACTTCTTCTTCTAGATCAACTAAACCAATCAAACACAAATTAGGCACATAACACAGGATATAACAGGAAACCCTTTAAATAGGGAAAAACCTTGGTTCTTGGCCTCAGCCAATAAAAGCATCCACTACCTGTATGTATCTTGTTACACACTCAGCTGTCTCACTATCTGTACACACCCAGGCATAAGAATAGACACTAGTTTTCACAACCAATACACACACACTAACCAATATGCTCATAAGCACTCCCCCAGTCCTAAGCAACCTTGCTTGGACCCTAAAGCTCTTGATAGCTTAATGAACAATGGGGTGAGGTATCAAAGCCTTACTACACATAATACAATACACTTAAGCTGCCACATAATATAAGAATGCAATACATAGCCTTAAGTACCATAAAACACAAGAAACCCTAGCTTCCACTTCACTGCAACAAGAAAGATAGAACTGTCAACTCACAATGTAGCTTCAATTGATGATCAAACTAGGTTCCCACAGCCTTGACACAGTCAGATATAATTGCTTGTATATAGAACATAAGTAGAGAAGCAAGGTAGAAAAATAAAAGCTTCCAAAAGGCTAAATCCCTAGAACAAGGGTAATCTGGTAACTTCACACTGTGACTTCAGAAATGACCTGCACTTGAGGCTTACAGCCTTGATGTCTTCATACACACTTGCTCTATAAAATTCAGCAATGAATGAAGCAAGATTCAACAATTTCAGTTCACAAAGGCTAAAACCCAAAACTTGAGGTTATAATAGTCTCTTCACAATGTGACTTGTATTCAGCCCTATAAATGCCTCCCACAGTCATGTATCAACAGAATATTGTTGCTTAAATCATAAACATAATTCAGATACCAAGATATGACTCTTTCACTTCACAAATAGCCTTAGTCACACCAAACCCTAGCTTTCAAGCTTTCAATGGTAGAATTATAATTTAGCTTCAAAGGCACCCCAAACTACACTCCCCCAGTCTTCAAAAGGCCAAATAAACATGCGTAGTTATTAAGAACATCATAGATAGCAATGTAAAAGCAAATGCAAGGTCACAACAGCACCTTCAGTGTTAAAACACCGAATTTCAGTTCTACCAAACACTACCTTGAGATAGTTCAGCCTCTATTCAATAAAAGGCTCTTACAGCTTGGAATAGATGTAATATAGCTGGTCTGAAACTTAGACAATGTATACACATAAGAATACATCAATGTAGTTCAAATAGCAGCAAAACAACAACTCACAGCTAGCTTAATATTTGTTGCTGCGCTTTTCTAGTTTGAGGGGTACTTCAGTAATTTCGAGACTGGTCCTTGTTGAATCTAGTTCCCACAGTTGAATCTCAACTTATAACACTTACTCAAGATATAATTTCCCAGATTATTGCAAGGTGTTATTAAATTAAAGTCCAAGGTCAGTATGTAAATTAGGCTCTGCTGCAGCACTGATATTGGGGTAGAAATAGAATTTCATAGCAACATCACCATAAACTTAGCACCCTCAGTTATATTTTAGCTAAATATAGATGCTCAGATATTATCACAGTATAGCTACCATCATTAGTCAAATTAGTTCACAGTTTATACAGATTTCAGCTGAGAACTCTAAAAACAAGGGTTTTAAACTACAAATCCCTTAAAGTCACTTTTCTCTGATAAAACTTACATGGTACAACTTTGATTCATCATTTTAAGTATGACTAAGAAGCAATAAGGCATGTATCTTTAGGATATATCACATCTAAATTCATATATTGCAGCTAAGCACCAAAAATTGAATAAAGAATAGGTTAAAGATCAGAGAAATGATACTAGCTCGATTGAAGTAGTTCTTGTGACTTCTGTAGATGTAAATCAACTGAATACACTTTCTTAACTCATGTTTTAGCCCCAGTAATGAACACACCAATATTGGACCTCTTGAACCTCACAATTACATCAAAAATCAGCAACTACCAGCCCTTCTTTAATCTTCAACTTGTATACATTGTTTGGTGTAATACTCAGGCAGATTTCAGCTTACTTAATAGATGGAAAACGTAAGAAAAATGTCTTCATTGTAGTGTCTCGAGAGTTTTTCAATATTCAGCTCATTTTTTTAGCCCTTTGGTTTTTAGGAGAGGCTTAAAAAAGGCTAGCTGCCATCACATTGTATTTGTAGTCTCAAAACATGCAACCCTAGTAAGGATAAGGCTGGGACAATGTGAACTAATCAGGTTGTAGGGTATTTTTTGAAAATTACAAGATATGTGTGGACCACTTCTCCTTGACAGACCCTCATTGGCCTTATATACACACACACCTACACACAATTTTGCACATAGCTGTAGAGAGAAAAAATAATTTTTATTTTTTTTTTTCAGCCAAGAATTGAATATCAAGTCCCTATATTCTCACAGCAGGACCACTGTGCACTTGTCTACCTTATGATCATCATAGTATATCATATATATATGTATACATACTAAATTACCAAGACTGCCCTTGAGACAACACATGACACACATTGTTTTGCAGCCATAAATAAGTCCTTAGAATTTTATCTCTTGGCTCTAATACACAATGCACCATTTCAGGCTATTATAGGCTGACCTTACACATATGTAGAATGACAGAATTGCCCCCAGAGTCCTTGTGGTTACCAAACAACCCTTAGTAGATAGAATATTGAATAACTTGTTCTTTTGACATTGAAAGAGCAAAACCAATAGAACATACAAT